TTGGAGATTGGGCAAAATGTCTGTGCTGAGAGAGTGGTCAGGCCTTGGGCCAGGCTGCCCAGGGCAGTGGGGGAGTCCCCATCCCTGGAGGGGTTCAAACACCGTGGGGATGCGGCCCTTGGGGACATGGTTGAGCAGGCATGGGGGTGTTGGGGTGATGGTTGGACCTGGTGACCTTAGAGGACTTTCCAACCTTAATGTCATTCTCTTGTACCAGAGAAGCCGAAATCTGCAGCCCAGCAGCACCCAGCCGGGAACCTCGGCACTCGGCACACCCACCTCGGAGCGCACCCACATGCCGAGCGCCCTGTGAAGAGGCTGCGCACGCAAGGCACTCAGCACAGGAAAGTCCCGGGCTGCGAACAAACCCTCCGTATTAAAGAGTGAGTATTTAACGCTCTGCTGGTTTAGCAGACGTGTTTGTACCGAGTCCAGGTTTTGCAGGCTGCTTTCGAGGAGCCGGGGTGCCGGATGAGCCGGACAAAGCCTGACCGAGGCCGTCACCATGCCAGACAGGGCATTTGCAATGCTGCAACCCGACGTCAGCCTCCTCGGTGCAGCCTCTGACCGAGGCACACGAGCTCAGACCGGGAGGAAAGGAGGGGAGGCTTCTGAGAAAGGCCAGAGTCAACTCCTCGTGCGGCTCTGAACACGCAGCCCCGCAGGCAACACAGAGGGGAAGAGGCACAACCACGGCTGCCGGTGGCCTGGCCTGGCCGCTCTGAGGAAGGCCGATGTGGAGCTCAGAGCGAAGGCCGGGCAGAGACGGGGGCCATCCCTCGCGCCCAGGGCAGCCGGTCTCTCAGACCCTTACCCAGGTTGTAGAGGATGCACGCCTGCTCGTACTTGATGTCCTCGTGAGTCACCGTCTTGCCCGAGAAGATCTCGGTCCTGTGAGGAGAGAAGCTTGGTCACCAGTGTAGCTGGAGGTAACGGCGTTCCCGGGCACAGGAAAGGCGCCAGGGAAAGGATTTATCGGGACACACGCTCCCCCCGAGGGGCAGGGAAGGGGCCCTCCGGCCTGGTGTCACCCCACCGGTGGGACGCAGCTGAGCAGCTCTGCCACGCCGGGGGATCTCAGCGCTGTCCCCTCGCGCCGTGACACCGTCACGGCTCGGCTTGCAGATCCCCAGGGCACGACGCCGTTTCCCGAGGGGTCCCCAGGGGCTCCCCTGTGCCGCGCTGGTTTCGGGGAGCAGCTGCCCCGCTTCGGATCGCCCTCCGCATTGCGGGAAGCGCCCGCTGGGCGCCGATCACTCCCGAATACGCACGGC